TAAACCCAACTTCAAAAAGGAGTGTGTGTGAAAGGCTTGGAACTTACCAAAGGCGCCTCCTTGTTGGGAGAGTCGGTTGAAGATTGTTGCAAGATAGAGGCTCGCAACATAGCCGCCGCAGTCTTGGAAGCGGTGATCTTGCTCATGGCGTCCACTGCAAGGACAAAAACCAAAGTTAATAAAAAGTTATAACAAGTAATGCATGGCAAAAGAGAGTATTCGACAGGCCGGCTACCTCTGGAACACCGACTGCTGAGGCCACAGGTGGCCAAAAAAAGTACTCGTCATAGAGCCATTTGAAGCTCGGGACGCAGTGCAGGGGTACTTGCTCTCGCACCCCTGTAGTAGAGTCGACCCTCGACTCTACTTTGAAGAGTCCTTTGTCCAGAATCTCTCTCTTAGCCTTTGGAGGAACAGGCAGCATGCTACGGCCGCCTGCAAGAAGAGGCGGATCCCTGTTCCACCTGTTGAAGCGCTTGCTCAGCTCTGTGTCTGAACTTTCAATGATAAGGAAAGTGCTTCGCCAATCCTTCCACTTATTTTCTTTACCTCTTGTCATGAGGTAGCCTCTGTGGCTCGTCAATTGATACCAGCCGGTACCGCCTGCCTTAGGGGTTCGGCTGAGGTAATTCATGTGGGCGAAAGCCTCGAAGTTTGGCTCCACCCCGTGCAGTTCGCACCCGGCCACATAGCCGAGAACGTTGAACCAGGAGTTTGGGGCTAACTGCCATAACCCCAACTCATACCCATCCAAGATCCGCTGAACAGCCGGATGTAATGGGAAGCGCAGACCAGCCCTGATGGTCGCCTCGTAGCAGCCAAAGAAGGCGCTATCATAACTAGTACCAGCCGGCCAGACGACTGTGTCTTCTGGATCCGACACAAAAACTAAAAAGTCGGGGCCCATTGTGTGGTTCGCAATAAAGCTCCCCACTTTCTCTTGCATGGCCTTGATCCGGCCTTTGGGGACAGTGCAGTAGTAAGGGGTGTTTTGCTCTCTGTAAGAGGCGGACGGCTCCGCCCAATTGTCCCCCTTCTCAAGTGCGTGAGAAAGCCTCGCCTCTTGTAGGCGGTTGTTTTTCTCTTTTGTGTCTAGAGAAATATGACCAGAAGAACTAGACTCGGACTCGTCCTCTAACGAATCCGAAGAGGACGACTCCTCTCCTCTCCCAGAGGGGCCCGCCTCCTCTCCTTCGATAGGAGCAGGAGAAAAGTTAGACATGTCAATTGTAAAATGGGAAGGGACCACCTTGACCCCTCCCTCAGAGTTGTCGGCGGCCAAGCCGCCTTGGTTTACTTCAGCATCCGGCGCCTGGTCAGATGTCTCACTAATCGGCACCTGGTAGGAGGAGCTGTCTGAGTTTGTGATCCTAGCAGTTCTTTTTGTTCTGTCCATTATGTTCTGCATAGACATAGAGACAGTCGGACTTTGTATAAAGGGCAAAGATTGGTTCGGAAAAGGGCAGGCGGCACTCCTAGTCCTAGATTCAGCCGTCCCCGGTGACCGGCTGATCACTAACCTAGGTCGTGTCGTGTGCTTCCGTGGTGCCATTTCCAAAAGAAAAAATAAAGAAAAGTTAAAAGAGTGAGAGAACCGACGGTTACCTGAACGAGTGAAATTGACGGAGTTCTGAAAAATTCTGAGCAGCCGGCTTGTCAAAGCAGGCGGTAGGCTGAAAGAGTCCGGAATGTCAGAGCAAGTTCAGGGGTCCAAATGCTCTCTTCAAAAGTTCTCAAGTGTGAAAATGACTAAAGTCAACACACCCTTATATAGGCGAAAATGAGAAGGCGAAGGGTCACTCCCAAATTCAAAATTTGGGCGGGAGAACCTCTCAGCCTTTCACCGAGTGACACCTGTAGCAGGTCGTCGCCTGTTACGGTGTGACACCTGTCACAGGTCACACGTGACCAGTCACGTGCCACCTGTGAGGGGCAAATGATTAGGGGATTTTTATCCACCAATCACCATCTGACAAGTGGACCAGTCAGGTACCGCCATGTGTCCGCCACATGGGCCAATAGGAGCCTCCCACGTGTCAACCATATATTCGTCCTCCGTGGACCAATTGCGACATGACACGTGTCCATTCATGCCAAAAGGATAAATCAGCCAACAAGGCCCAATCTTTGGGAAGCTCAGTCAGCCTTAGGTTTAACCTAAACCTAGTATTGGCACGCATCCCAAGGAATATAAATATGCCCATTAATCCTCATTAAGGAGGAGGACGCACATTTAACACTCTCACCTAGAGAGACTAAATTACATTTTCGCATTAATTACTCTTTAATCAAGTACGAACTTGACCGTTGGAGGCGGATCTTCAATCATCCGGAGCATCTGTTTGTTTTGCAGGTACAGACGTCCGGTTCCAGTCTCGAAATTGTAACTCTCCCACAGGACATCAGAAAACCCCGAAACAAGGGTTATGGGCTTAAAGCCCGTTTTCCCCTTTGAATGACACGTGTCATGCTCTAATTGGCTCATTGAGCGCTGAGCTAGGGACACGTGTTGCATTAGCATAGGTCCATTTGTCAGGGGTATTTTTACTTCCAAACATTACCCTAAAAAATTAAGAAAAACACAATGCAAATTATACATTGGAATTAAAGTACAAAAACCAAATTATACATTGGAATTAAAAATTAAAAAAAAAAAAACAAATGCAAATTGTACTTTAATTTCTTTCCCAAAAAAAATAAAAATAAAAAGGTAAAAAACTAAAGCAATTATGAGCTAGATTGTACTTTAATACAAAGTTAAACGGAGGGAGTATGTATTTTGTTTGTTTCCTTAATAAAAGAATTTAAAGTAGAAGTGGAAGGGTGACAAATGATGGCCGCCGAGAGAAAATTACGAGAAGGAAAATGATTTCAACTGAGATAATTATACTTCACCCTGGTCTTTACAAACCGAACAAAGGAAAACGCTGAAATCATTTTCTTAGAAAATATTATACAACGTCCAGCCATATACCACATGAAAGTTTCACTATTTAAGTTTATGATTTCCCTTAATTCAACAATTATTTAAGTACTATAAGGTCTATAGCTCATAACTTATACTATTGCACATCTTGAAAATAGTTATAAAGCTATTACTCGTGTTTCATACTTTCATGTGTACGGAGTAATATAAATTTAGATCTAGTTATATTTTAAGGTATCAAGTATTCTCGTGTTTAATACTTTCATGTGTTACACACTTACACAATTTTGTTATAGAATTTAATTGGGCCTTAGAGCGATACAAGTTCAGCCCATTTTACGCTGAGATCTATTTTATAATTTTTTTGTTCAGGCCCAATGTTAAACTACTCAATAAATTCTGGTCAGGCCCATTACTAAGTGAGGTTTTAGTAGGGGTTTTTGGGAAGTCAAAGACGACCGCCGTTAACTACTTAGGTTTCCGTTACAAAACATCCTGTACATTCTAAAAATACAAAAAAGGAAAGTTTCCCATAAAGTTTCTGACAGGTGGCAAAAAAAGAAAGCGCGTGACTGTTACACGCTTGGACCACGCGTGTGGCTAATATGTCTGAAAATTGACCAATCAACAAGATCACTCAAAACTACTAAAGGACAGTGGCTTCTCAATTTAACGAAAGATCAAAGTTGAGACTATCTTTGTTTCCTATCCAAACTTGAATATAACTACACCACAAAAATTGCAAATTATGAAATTTAATTGTTGGATTTAATATGTGAAAGCAACTACCTTAAGTAAAAGTGGGAATTTATTTCTAAGGATTTGGGTTCGTTGTGGAACTGGGCATACAGTTTCAATTTGTGGCCCAATTGTAGGTTGTAGTTCCATCATTTTCTTCATTTGGTAGCCCATCGATTTATCACTCCTTTTCTTTTTTCTCGAAAATGCATTTTTGGACACTATTTTTTACATTGTTGTACCACTCGAATACTCGATCAATGGATATATCATATATTGTACTTTAATATGATTAGAATCATTAGATTAAATGAGAGTGTACATCTTACATTTGTGCAACTGTCTATATATTTTTTAAAATACCGTATTTTTTGTTCAGTTGTTTACATTGACAATTAAAAAGGTGTACTTGATTTATGATGGATTCTGGATCGTTAATCTATTATCAAACAAAACTAACTCACAATTTGAAATAACTCTTTATTAAAAATTAAATTTACAAGTTATTTGTTAGTTAATGAGACTACATAAGTCAATTTGATGTTACATAAACATTATAAGGATCTCAAGCTCGCCAACATTGTCGTTTGTGTCTATTAGAAATGGTGGTACTCCTGGTAATATGCAAAATGATGGATATGGATTATGAGCGCATCATTGATTTGGTTAGAGGTGAGTTGAATTTGAGCCAAACCTAGACTTGGATCAAATAAAATTAGAAGGGACCCTTTTTTTTTTTTATCTCTTCGAGAGAAAATCAAAAGGGACTTAATGTAGCCCAAATTGAGGAATTTTGATTCAGAATACATTTCTTAAAAATAACTTTTTTTTCAAGAATTTAGCCCACGAAGAATGAAAACTTACATAATTGTATATGCTTTATCGCTAGACAAGTAGACAGGGTAGCTAATAAAGTCAATGCGAAAGCTATCTTCAAAATTTGATTTTTGTAAAATGGTAAATTTAAAATTATTTAACAAGTCAAAATCGATCTAAAACAAGATAATTAAGTCCAAAACTCTACCATTTAAAAAAAAAAAAAAAAAGTTCAAAACTCTAAGTCCATCTAAATTAAAATAATTTTGTTCTAGTATTCAATCCATCAAAATGAAATTCCAATCCTTCAATCCAAATTCCAAATAATTCTAATTCGATTTTGGACCTTTGCACAACCCAATAACGATCGGAAAACAAATGAATTTTCTACCTACAAAAGACCCCGTAGGGCCACAGTGATCCACGTGGACGGCTACAACAGCGAGTGACATCTACATTTCCTCAAACCCGCCCGCGAGTAGAATAGCGCTGCTATAATTTTATCAACCCATTCAAACCATCTAATAATTTCACTTACTACTACTCCATTTTCTACTTTGTACCAACAAACGCCGTCACCAACTCACTTCTACCTGAAATCTCTCACTCTTTTTCTCTCTCTTCCCTCAATTTCGTCTCTAAACTCGAGATTGATTCATCTTAGAGAGAGAATCAAAGAGGAGAGATCGAAATTTCTGTCTCTTTCGAACGAATTAATTCTTCGATCGATCGAATTCACCGGAAATTCCTGCAATCTCCGATCTCGATTTCTAGGGTTCCGGCGACTCCATTTTTGTACTTTTTCCGATTCTTTGATTTTAATATTGTATTCGGATTTTAATGGCGTCGGAAGATGTGAAGACGAGTGAAGCAGCTGTTTCGACGATTGTAAACTTGGCGGAAGAAGCGAAGATTGCTAGAGAAGGTGTTAAGGCTCCTGGTTATGCTATTCTTACTATTTGCAAGTCTCTCGTTGCTGGTGGTGTTGCCGGCGGAGTGTTAGTTCTCTCACTCATCCTCTTTGTATTTCTAAAATGTTGATGGAATTGAAAGCATTTTGATGAAATTGATTTGTGAAGAAACTCTGTGATCTTTTTGGTTTTTTGGAAAATTTGATCGTTTATTTATTGTTTTATGCAAATTTTATTTAAATTGATGTTTGGTAAGTTTCGTTATTTTGTTTTGATTTGGATGAATCTGTGGTCCCTGTTTTGTTGTTGCTGTGGATGTGCATTTTTTGTTGTAGATTATTCCAAAAATGTTGTCTTTATTTTTAGTTTATTAGCTTCAATCCCCTGGATTTGGATCTTGCTATTGTTTCTCAATTGTAAAGAAGTAAAATTTTTAAGTCTTAAGTGTTGGGGGATTGGGTTTTTTGAATTTGTGATATCTGGGTTTATTGATATGGATCTGCAAATATACTAGTCTGTTTTTCATGGGGTTGTTTTTGTGTGATCGCCGAAAAAAGGAGGGAGAAACAGATTTTGGGATAAGTTCTTGTTGTAGATTTTGTAGTTTGCAAGTGTTTAATTTATATGGGATCGAAAGAAGCAATCAAAAAGGAGCTGGAGTTGAAATTAAGGTTTTAGGAAGCAGCAATGCTTGGGAATGAAGTTGTTTATGGAAGCGGGGAGGATTAAAACTTTATGTTTATTTGAATGCTTGACTGATCATTTGGTCACATGGTCGATACTGTGTTGGTCACAGTTCAAAACTACAATAGCTTTTGATGCTGCAAGGTAGAGTTTGTGGTTTATTGAGTATTGAAAATTTTTGGGTTATTTCTTTTAGCTTGTTGGGTTTAGGAGAGAATACACTCTATTTGTTAGATGGTTGTGGTTGGATTTGGCATTTGATGTTGAACTTTGATCCTTGGAAGCATTGGTGTGTTGATGTTCTTGATTTGGGATGTGTATTTTTTTTATTGGTTCAAGAAGCCTGTATTATTGAAGATTAACAGCTTCTTACTTTCTTCCGATATTGTTATATGAGTGTAGGTTTCATTATTGATGATCACAGAAGTAATTGTATCGTTAATTTTGGGTGCTTAACTTAACTCTCATGGGAGAAAGAGATGGCTTTAAATATGATGTCCCTTTTTTTTTTTTTTTTTTTGGGCGAAGACTTGCTGAAGGAACGATAAAAGTATGGTCTTCTTATGTGGCAAAAAGTTAGGATTTTGGGAGAAAGGAGAAAGATATTACTCATATTAGTCATGGAGTTAATTAAATTTTCAATTGATTGTAATTTTGGCTATGATCACTGGACTGAAGCACTAAGAAAAAGGGTCCTAGTGGCATCGGAACATTGCAGTGTCAGTTTGATTATGCAGTGCTTACTGCTAAGTTACTGCTCCTCTACTCTATATGATTGCCTTTTCTGGTTTTCTGTATGGTTTTGTAAAAATTAGGGGATGTTTGCCTCTATATAGCCTTTTGAAAATTTTAGGGTATAATTCTTATGTTTCATGCCATTGGATATGTGTCTCAGGTCACGAACTGCTGTTGCTCCCTTAGAACGCCTAAAAATATTGCTCCAGGTATTCTTCTATTCTTCATAGCTGCTTCCTATTGGGTTTAGTACTGTTATTTATCGGTTTCAGCAGAAAATAAGGAAAATCATTTTGCACACCTTTCACACCTTTTAATTGCGGTGTTAAACATAATATTCCAGGTTCAAAATCCACATAGCATTAAATACAACGGAACCGTTCAAGGGTTGAAATATATATGGCAGACTGAGGGATTACGAGGATTGTTCAAGGGTAATGGAACAAATTGTGCACGTATTGTGCCAAATTCCGCAGTCAAGTTTTTCAGCTATGAGCAAGCATCTAAGTAAGTTTCTTTTTCTACATTTGAGTAACATGATCTTAGTTGCCATGTAAAGTTTTGAAATTGCTTCTCATGTGGAAGTTTTACTTTTTTATTTTTTGTCTTAGGAGGAATATAATTTATTATTTTTAGTTCTAGACACTTGGCTCTACCTCCTGAACCCCTGGTTGCATATACATACCTTGTGCAGCTCTTGCTGGGATTCTCTTCACTTGGTCAGTTGCTAGGAATCCCTTTAAAGGTGGTTGTGAAATAAATATTAAGATGAAGAATTGAAGAGACAGGCAATGTTGTATCTAATGTGCCATTTGCTTCTGAATTGGTCTCTGGCTAGTGTAGCACCATTGGTGTGGCATTCTTGAGCTTCTAGAATGTTATAACGGATGTGTGCAATGGAGCGATTTGGGAACTCACCCTCAAACACAATATAGAATAAATAGCAAAACACGACAATAAAATAGACAATGTTTATGATGAAATTTAAATCTCCTCCCCTCAACAAAATATTGTTTTATTAAGTTCCTACAAAAAAAGACTAAGATTTTCCACCTCAATAAAATCATCATTGATGAACCATCATTAAACCATTATTTTTAATTTTCTACAAGCCTAAACCCCCCTAGAAACTCACATCAACTAGGATATTTTACTTGCTTCCCAAGCCTAAATAATCCTAGATTGATTATACACACCTAAAATATATCCAGTTTCCTAATTACAATCCTCATCTAACTAGGAAAGCATAAAAGATAGAAATAAATAAAATATACATCATATCTTTTCCTAAAACAAATCTCGTTGGTATTTGGCAAGTTTAGTTTATTTCCTAACATAGAATTTATAGACCTTAGTTTACAGGCTTAGTCTTCTCTATTAGTATGTTATTGACGAGTGACCGAAAAGTACTTTATAAAAAAAGACATGTCTAAAGATGGATTTATCGAGTGTCAATTGATATCCCATTTAATCGTTAGTGAGTAGTGAGTGCTGATTGCTTTCTACTGTTTTTTCAGGGGCATATTATGGCTGCATCGACAACAGAGTGGCAATGGTACTCCTAATTTTTTAATTCCTGTTAATGTTTTCATATTGTGTGATTTTTTTTTTTCTTGCTTCGTTACCCTGCTGTCACGGGTTCATTGTGTTTCTTGTTGGATCATATTATTTCCTACATGATAAATTTGATTAGTTCTGAATAATCCCGTCTAATATTGCCCAGCCGCTGTTCTAGTAAGGAGAATATTCATTTATATAGTACAGACGAGAAGGCTTAAAAGTTTCACACAAAACTTTAAGGTTCTAGTTTCATTGACATCATAATTCTTTTATGTATAGCAACTATAATAGCCTAAGTATGGATCACAACATGGCCATAACGAAACCGGAGGTACAATCATACTCAGCCTCATCCTTATTTGGTATAGAATGATAGAGTTTTTTGAATGATCCACATGATTGTTTCATATAAACATCCTTGCATATTGTTTAATTGCATATGCATGTTTATTGGTGTCAATTCTCTAGTCTGTCCCATGCCACGTTACCAACCACGTTAGCACATGAAATTTCTGTTTCTTGGAGATTTTATCATGTGCTAGTTTTTGGAATTCTATTGGAGGTTGAATCCCGATGCTGGACTTCTGGATAAACCTTAGAAATAATATGTTTCTTGCTTTGATTGTCAATTTCAGCGGACGCTGAACTCACTCCTTTATTGCGCCTTGGGGCCGGAGCAACTGCTGGCATCATAGCAATGTCTGCAACTTACCCTATGGACATGGTGCGGGGCAGGATTACTGTACAGGTATTATGAATTAACATCTCCGCAAATTATTATAATTCACACTAAGGTTCTTTTGTAATTTGCTTCAAATGACATTTGCCTGTGACCTTTGTTTTCAGACTGATAAGTCACCTTACCAGTACAGAGGCATGATCCATGCGCTGTCTACTATTCTTCGTGAGGAAGGTCCAAGAGCTTTATACAAGGGTTGGCTTCCCTCTGTTATTGGAGTTGTAAGTTCTTTGACTTAAAATACTCTATGGATCCAGTTGTTTTACTTTCAAGTGTGTTCAATAGTTTTGGTTTGGAGTTAATTTTGCATCAGCTAGTTATCAAGCAATAACAACATACTTATGGCTGAAACATAGCTTTTTGTCTATCGTCAGTTCGTCACACATAAAGGCAGTGCTGCAGTATGCTTGTGTTCTCAATTTGTTAGTAAAATGGATATTGATTCTTGCTGTGCTATACGCAATCCGTTGCATAGACCAAATTTTAGGGCTAAAGTTGCTGATATATGTATGTGTGCTGTGCAGATAAGAAATAGTGGACCTCATATGCCTTAGGCTCAAGAATTTGAATCTTTGTGGGAGGGTTTGTTTCTTGGAAATTTAATATACAAAGTATTGGTGGAACTGCCACTCATTTAGCTGAAGTCTTGTGTAATTCTGTGATTGGTCTGCTAGATCTTTTTAGCTTGTTTGCTGTTCAAATCTTATATGCAAATTGATTTTGCCTTATGCAGGTTTGCTTGCATGTTTTAATGTTTGTTCTTACTCATCTGCTTGTCACTTGTAGATTCCTTATGTTGGCCTCAATTTTGCCGTGTATGAGTCATTAAAGGAATGGTTGGTGAAAGCTAGGCCATTTGGATTAGTCCAAGATAGTGAGTTGAGCGTGACAACAAGGCTTGGATGTGGTGCTGTGGCGGGGACTATTGGCCAAACCGTTGCTTACCCTCTCGACGTTATTCGTAGAAGGATGCAAATGGTGGGGTGGAACAACGCTTCATCTATAGTCACTGGTGACGGGAGGGGCAAGGTCCCATTGCAATATAATGGCATGATTGATACATTTAGAAAGACGGTTAGACATGAGGGTTTCGGAGCTCTGTACAAAGGCCTGGTCCCTAATTCAGTAAAGGTCAGTGTTCAACATGCCTTGTAATATGCTTTCAAACTATCTGCTGCTGCCAGTCTTGTTGTGGCTTATAGCCCAGTTTCCTTTATGATCAGACATAGCACATATGAGTCAGTTGCTTATATTTGTGGCTTATGCTTGTATCTCTTATTTTCTCCAGGTCGTGCCATCCATATCAATAGCATTTGTGACATATGAGGTGGTGAAAGATATCTTGGGAGTTGAAATGAGAATATCAGACTGAAGTTGCTGATTCGGGCTCTTAAACTCTGATATAATTTTTCTTCTTTTGGTAGGCAATTGGAAGAAATAGGTAAATTTTGGTTGATGTATTGTATTTTTGCCCGATTAGAACAAGCTAAACTAGTACCAGGTGCTAGCCTGTTTTATATGTTGCTTTTCTGTTACCTCCTGTCTAGGGATCCTTCAGAATATTCTAATTACCTCAGTTTTTCAAATGCTTATTTGTAATAAGTAGTTGCAAATAATAAATTGATGGATCCATTTGCAGATTTCGAAGAGACATTCTGTTGGATGTTTATGTCTGCTATACCGTCTCTTGTATATTGCATAGGCCATCTCCTGCTTGATTTTTTGTGCTTGGAATTAAATGCTCCATGCTGCCTTTGTAAAATCAAAGATGCTTTTAAAGTACACATTTTTGTGGCTCTCGTCGGTTGTATGACGATACTAGTATTATAGTACAAAACTTGTCCTTACTCCTTGGCCATGCTCGGGTTTTATAAATAGTAACTGAAAAATCCTTTAATTAACTATAGTAATTTTCAATTTATTTGCTTTATTCAACAGTTTTGATGAAGTAATTTCATGACTTGTAATCTTACCTCTCTTATCGATGTTTGAGTTAGTTTGATACTGTTAATATACCATATTGATCATCTTTCTTAAATACGTGCCGTTGCAAGTATATAAACGGAGAAAGTATATTTCTACGAAGAAATTCTGTGGAGAGATAATTTGCTGCAGTAAGTCTAGTAACTGTTACTTTAATACTTCATGTGTATTATTTACATAAAGATTTACAAATAAGACCTGGGAGATAATTAGATAAGTCTCATGGATCTCTGTATATTTAGGAATTAGGATATCATCCTCTTTCTATCCCTGAGCTGCTACACTTAAGATTACAGAAGATAATCAAGCCAAAATCTTTCAAAGTGAACACTAACTCATACTATACAGCCATTATACTCAGACTACCAGACTAGTACGGAATACGCTTAAAATTTTACACCATCACGACAGTTAAGATTACTACGCGAAGCTCTTCACATTTTTCGGCCATGCCTGATCACAAGAGGAAAAAAAAATGTAATAAGCACCGTAATCATGTTAGGCAAAGAGTATAGATGGTACATGAGCTGTTCGGATTGAGTCAATTCGAGTCATATGTAGACCCGGTTTCCATTTTCTGATACAGGACAGGCTTAAAAAGATGTCAGGTCTAGTCTATGTCTAGAAACTACTACAAGATCCCTGCATAAGTTGTGCATACCTGGAATCTAGAACCTTGGTTTGCAATTTTGATCGCGATGCCTGTCGATCAGCAATCTTAAGCTCATCGAACCCACGTTTACGAGCACGCAACTTTGATACAAGGGCCTTAACATCTTGTTGCTCTTTAACACTAATCTCATTCATGTCCTCATATTCTGATACCTCTTGTTCAGATAAACTAAGGGAAGCAATGATCATAACCAAGTTTAACTCAATAAGGAACGACGAATCTGGCCTCACTGAACACGCATTCTCATTTTCCTCTTCTACTTGCTGATTTTGTTCCTCTTGATCATAATATATTTTCTCAGTTACTTCAGCCATTTTTCCTATTTTTATCAACCTCCTTTAACACCTGCATATGTAAATTAAACTAATTTAAGTAAAATTCTCTTAGAAACATCTGGTTAAGAATAATTGATAAAGTCATAAATTTATAAAATGTTGTTTAAATTTCTTATTTCATTTAATTAAGGGAAAATGAGCTTCAGCATGGAAAATTAAGTAGAAATTAGCTGTATTTTGTTTTTATGTAACATACTTTTAAAATTGAAATTTACCCAGAAATTGATCAGATGCGATGCAGAAAACGAAAAAATAAGATGAACATGAAATTATAGCTGCCATTACCATGGATCATGATGATATATCTGCTGAATGAAATCATAGTTAAATGAATCAAAATTGTATGAAAATTTCAGCAATTTAAAGACTATCATATTTGATCACCTTTGAATTATGAGGAAACAGAAATAGCAATGAATTGAAAACTTGTAATATATAAGAAATGAATCAAAAGCTACAGAAAATAAGAAATAATCAAGAATTTCAAGATGAAAATATGCGTACCTGAAATGGAGTTCAAAAGGGAATAACCGGTGACCGGTTAACCAATAGAAGAAAATAAGGAGTGAGAGCTCTGTTTTTACGAAGTCCTACAATAAGATTGAATAGTACTATAGGATAAAAAAAATTGTTCTTTCAAAACACCAAAAATATAGGTGTTGTAACTTTGTAGTAGCAAGTAACCTTGAATTTGGGAAAGTAGTGAGATTAGCAAACATTATACATAACATAATCCATGAATGGTTGACTTAACAATTGAAGAAAATTGCGCCTCTGATTGAGACACATGTATGTAGTCTATTCCAAGGATCAAGGGTATGGGTATACACCGTCAATAACAACTACTCGTCTAGCCTCAACTATAAATTCATTTTAATGGAATTTTAACCCTAACCTCATATTATAAGGTGCTTTAATTACTCGCATTTTAACTATGATAAACTTAGGACTTGTTTAGTTCACCTTATTTTTACTTATTTCAGAAAAAATAAGTTCAGATCAGATCAGATCAGAAAAAATAAGTTCAGATCAGATCAAACCAGAAAAAATAAGTTCAGATCAAATACAAATTATTATTATTATTATTATTACTACTACTACTACTACTACTACTACTACTACTACTACTACTACTACTACTACTACTACTACTATTATTATTATTAAATAGCACAAACAATAAACGATAATAATTAAAATTTCATTATAAGCTCCAAATCATAAACGTTTACAAATATAATTTTCATCACAAGAAGTTCCAAATTTCCTTCGCTATATTAAGTTGTACTTCGTTCATTACTGCTTTACGATTCTCATTAAACAAATCATAATCTGCTCTTGGTTCGATTTCTATACCACTATCAATGGGTATATCCAATTCATGTAATCGAATAAAATTGTGAAGTGTGAATGTAGCAACCATAATTGCCAATTGATGTTTAGTGTCCATATTTGGCATCATTGTCAATATTTTCCATCGAGATTTTAATTGTCCAAAACATCTCTCGATCGTTGTTCGAAGTGAAGAGTGAATATAATTAAAAAGTTCAAGTATGCCTTGAGGTGGAAAACATAATACTTTGCTTTTTCCTATAAACACCCTCTTCAGATCAAAACAATAATACTTGATCAAGTGGTTTTAACAAAAATATTTGAATATCTTCTTACAAAATATTACTTTTTTTCCTACAAAAAAAAAAGCAATTATAAACAAGCCTAACGTTTCTTATACAAAAAAATTAATATCTTGGTACAACATATTATGTATATTTTCATTTTTTTTTAATTTTATATTTTTGGTAACAAGCCTAACGTTTCCCATAAATAAAAAATTTTAAATTTCATATTCTCTTTCCTCTTATTCTGTCAAATACTTTTGCTTTATACAATTTTTTATTCTTCCACTTACCCCACAAGCTCCATATATTATTACGTTTACCAATTTTTCCTAAAACTCCCCACATGTAGAAATGGAGAAGGTATTTAAAATCGAAGGGAGTATACGTATAAGGTTTTCAATAATAATAGCTACGCATTACTTTATTAAAATTAGTACAAAATAACATAGAAAATGTTGCTAGTTCAAACAAACGATAAAATCAAATCCGATACATCATAAATCCATATTATTATTTAAGAATTAAGGTATTTGAAAACAAGTCAACTCTCTTTTTTCTATATAGAAAAAAGCTATGATAAATTTAATCTGTAATTTAGTTTTTTTAGGATCCCCATTTTAATACTTTCTTATAAAAATAACTCATTTATGAAGTGGGATATTGTAAATAGTAAAATTATCAAATATTCCAATTCTATTACCTTATACTATCTAATAATTTTAATACTTATAGGTTTCTTTAAAAAATTTGTAGGTCTATACTACTACTACTACTACTACTACTACTACTACTACTAATAATAATAATAATAATAATAATAATAACCATAATAATAATAATAATAATAATAATAATAATAATAATAATAATAATAATCATAACAATAATAATTAAACATCAATATTGATTAACATTAAAAGTAGAATATTGAAATAATTAAAATAAGTTCAAATCAGATCAGATCAGAAAATATAAGTTCAGATCAGATCAGAAAATATAAGTTCAGATCAGATCAGATCAGAAAAAATAAATTCAGATTAGATCAGATCAGAAAATATAAGTTCAGATCAGATCAGCTTAAATCAGGTGAACTAAACAAAGCCTAGTGCTTGTTTAGTTGGATGTAGGAAGTAGAAACTCCTATGAAATCGCAATGTACATGAAATTGTAATTCCTTAGAATTATCAAAAATTGTTTGGTTGGATGTAGAAATTTTTACTTCCAATGGGAATAATAATTTAATTCCTCCATTTTATGAGAAATATAATTTTCTAGGATAATCACCATGATTATAAGGTGTTTTGACTGCTCGTCTTTTAACTATGACAAACTTAGAGTAGTTTTTTATTTGATTAATTATGTTCAAAGTTGTAAATTATCAATTTTTGAAGTGTCCAAAAGTAACTTATGTTTTAAACTTTATCCAAATCATTCAAGTTAATAAAGCAAAAAAAATAATATCCAAACGAATAAAACTGGAAATTTTAAATAGTAATTCTTGATTTAGACAATCTATTAATGTAAACCTATGTTTTAAGTCGAGTTAACTCATAATTCTTCATAATAATAAAAGAGGAAAATTCTATTTAAAAAAGTAAGAGAAAAAATCTACCCAAAAAAAAAAAAAAAAATCCAATAATTGAAAAAGAGTCTGATACGACATCAATGGCTACCCTTGATTGCGGGGGTCCTAGTATATTGGCGAGATGACACTTCAACCTGTTTTGTTTGAGACATCAGATTATGTATGTGTCATCCATTAATGGATTTAAGACACTTCTACTTTCGCTACCATTTCTACTTTCACTACCATTTCTACTTTCATTTTTCCTTTTCTTTTTTTTTTTAGCATTTTATTTTTCTACCCAATTTTATTATTTTTTTTGTGGTCTAGGAAATTCGGCGTTGGCAAGCGAATCTGGATACGTATTGCCGCCCCTCGAAAACTTATAACTACCCTTTTCTTCCCTAGTTTGGCAACAATACTATTGAGAGTATTCACAATTTTGATTGAATAAAGATTGGATTTTTTTTTTTTCATTATTAATTGATTTTTTGGAGTAAAATATAATTTCAGAAACCCATTTCCCCCCTAATTTTTAACCATTTTGAAGATCACAAGCTAAAGATTGTTTTTGTTCTTCTAAATTTCCCACTTACCTCTTTCCTCTGGTATGATTTCTTCTTTCTCTACTTTTTACTGAATTTATGGAATTTGATATATTTTCTTATCTGGGGTTTTCTTGTTTTTCAATATTTTGATTTGGGTTATTGTGATTTTGGAGTTGGATGAAGTAGTTGATAATGTATTGCTACTGCATTTGATTGTGAGTTCAATTTAGGGTTGGCTTTGTTTGAATTGGAGCTGTTGGGAGAAGCATTATTGCTATATTTTTTTAAAATTTTTTTGGTGTATTATTATGGCTCTTAAAGTTGTACTTGTATATGATTGCTAAATGATAATATCTGTTCTAATCAGCTCTGGGGTAGCCAGTTTTGGCCAACTTTTGAGGTTTGATTGTGATTGTCTGAATGAAACATTTTACTGAAGTTTCCTTTACTTGCTACTTGTGAACTTTGAAGAGTGGACAATATGTGATTTTTTGAAGGAGAGTTTAATGAAAACAACTGCCTTGTATATGTCATGGATTGTGATGGTTGTAATCATGGTTTTGGTGGAGTGAGAGAGCTGGCTAATGCCCTTGTGAGGTTGCTTTTACGCGAACCAAGCTGTGCTTTTCTTGATAGAGGTTATACCCTTGTAAGATAGGTTGTATGAGGTTAATCGATGCTTTCCCAATGAAGAATTTGATGAATTGCACAAGTAATGGCAACATAGTTCCTCCTGAGAGTAGTTTTCAACTTTTTATTTAAAAAATTAGGAAGGAATCAATGCTATCTTAGGACCAAGGACTAAGGACTTGTCGTTTCTTTCTTTTTAGGAGAAAAGAAAGGAATGGGATCCAGATTTCAAAGATATTTTACCAGGTTGATCATGGGACATCAATTGGTGCTTGAGCTTGATGTTATTCTCTTCTTTTTATTATCTCAAATTTTATTTTTGTTCAGTTAGAATGTAGCGTTAACTGTATTACACGGCTTAGGCTTTCAATGTTTTTCTTATTCCATGTGTATCTATCTATAAAAGACCATATTGACTTAATTTCGCGCTGTATAACACACCTCTGCTAGTCTCTTGGCTTCTTTGTTTTTCTGAATTGGTTAGCTGATAATGACTTCTGGAGCTTTAAAACTTTTATATATTACAAAATCTTCTGTTGATTATAATCTATTTGTTTTTTCAGAGAATGCTCTGATGAGGCTGATCTGTTGTGGTATAAGTATTGTAACATTGAGGTGTGTATCGTGATGAGTGACTTAGCTCTACTGGCACTGTAAAGTCCTCTGTGGAGGCAATGGTTGCTAATGATCTAGAAGAGATCGAGATGGATAGTTCAGATTCTCCATTGAAGCAGGAGGACTGCCCTAAGTTGGCTTCGCCAGTCATTTACGATTCGGTGAGAAGTCAGTTGCAGGGGACTACAGAACATGATTGTACAGACACAATAGGAAGCAATGATTCAGAGCAATTTGGAATGAGAATTTCAGGGTTGGAGTTGTCTTATGCTGCCAATGCTGGCCCCCAGTCACCTGCACAAACAGGCCATGTAGGTAATAATTTAAAATTCGAAAATAACAAGGACCATGTCTTAGATATATCCAATTTTTCTAGTAGTAAAGATGCGGATTTGAAGAAGGGTCACTGGCCACACTTGTCTCAGATGGTAGCTGGCCCTAGGAATACAATACCTCGAAGAGATTCACTTTCAAGAGCTAAGGATAAGCTTATGGTTAGCATCAAAGAGAACTCCAGGAAAGGTGATATTGATGCGTGGAATATGAGGCATCTGAAGATCAAACACGTTGATGAGACAGGAAGAGTGTGCTCGGATGTATTGCATGGGAAGAATCTCAATACCGAAAGTGCATTGCTTCCTCAGGATGCTAGGTTGAGAATTTTATCCACATCTAGTTTCTCACATTTTTTTGGGAAGAAAACTGCTAAGGGTAAAGGGGTCATTGATGGGCGGCTAGGAGATGAAATCAATCTGGACAATGATGGGCTTGATGGCAATTTTGAGAGTTATGGAAGGAGGTTAGCTACATCAGGCATGACTTCTGAAGACCAAATGCAGCCCTTGCTACGTTGCAGCAGTGGGATTGTAAACCATGATGGAGTTGACCTGAGAGAATGGCTTAAGCGTGGTCATCGTGTGAAGAACAAAGCTGAAAGCCTTAATTTTTTCAAGCAAATTGCTGAGCTTGTAAATTCAGCACACTCTCAAGGTGGTGTCCTACAACAATTGCGGCCATCATATCTTGTTATAACTCCATCAAATGAGCTAAATTACATTGGCTCATCAACCCAGATGGACTTGCATGTTCCTAAATCCTTTGCTGGTTGCAAGAAAAGGCTCCCAGAAGAAGATATCAGTGCTTTCTGTGCCTCTGATCTGAAGCAACAGAAAGTCCTGAAAGTCCATAATCATGCATTTTCAGCCTCCTTAGTAACTGGGGTTAAGACTGCTACAGTTCGAGAAACCAAATATGATATAGGTAGCTCATCTGTTTCTTATTATCCCAACAACAAGACTTTGAGCATGATGAGCCATGGGGTTACTGGGTTGGAGAAGTCTCCTCTGACAAACCTCCAGCTGGAGGAGAAGTGGTATACTTGTCCTGAAGAGTTTGATGAGAAAGATTGTAAAGTTTCTTCAAATATTTATAATCTTGGAGTGCTGCTTTTTGAGGTGAGGAAACACAGAAATTATTACGTCACTCATTTGCATTTCAAAGAGCAATTTTTTGTGTGTGTTTTTTCTTTTCCTTTTAAAAACCTCTATTCCGTACTAAATTAAATGGGTAAAAAGATGGATATGTTTTGTTTAGCCTTACCAAGTGTGGATAATCACTTGGTCCTTTTCTTTCAACTGTTTTAATCACTCTAGGTCCTCTTCTACTATTTTCTTTTATTTCTTGCAGTAACTAGTCATATACGAAGTATGTTGTATGATTTACAAATTCAAGTGCATTATAGCCATGTCTTGCCCTCCTCTATTATAGTTACATTAGTCAAATCACACGTTGTATAACATTTTGTCTATGTATGACTCTTTTCTAATTAAGAGCCTACTGTCTCATCCTTAGAATGAAGCTATGGCGACTGTTGCTTATGATCTAATGGTATAGTGACATTCTAATGGTTTAGTGATATTGGTATTGCTAATAACTCTGATGACCGGTTTGGTAAGTGGCCATAAATGATGATAATGGGAATGAATTTGTATGTAAATTTGTAAAAGAAATTAAGATTTATTACCATGGTAATGCTAGCTCACCCTGAATTGACCATTCTTCTTTAGAAATTTTCATTCCCGCCTAATACCTTTTCCCAAGTGGTAATGGATGGTAATGAAAACATGAAGAAAACACTTTTTCCTATGATGAAATTGCATTACCATGGGATTAACACTTAAAATTCATTCCCATTACCACCGTTTATTACCTGCTACCAAACAGGCCGTGAATAAATTAATTATGAATCACCCCCATATTCTAAGGCTTTATGCTTTTCTGAATGATTCATTGTTGTTATATACTTAATTTGGACTCTTAAACTGATCTAGTCAAATAGCAATGTTTTTTTTACCTTTCATTCAATGTTTAATCACCATGCAGCTCACCATATTCCCTCAGATGTCTTGTAGTTGAAGCCTGTGATTCATCACCAAGAATTGATGACCTACACTACTTTTACCGCGTTAAATACCCTATATGATGCTAATCTGATATATGGAAGCTTAGAGATTGGTTTCATCCCCCTTTTCCCCTTGGCCCAAGAAAAAAAAAAAAAAAAAAAAAAAAAAAAAAGAACTATGTCATACCCATATGGGTTTGATTGTCCTAGGGGAATAGGGAAAGTATTTTGGGGCAGGGGTATCATTATAAAATAATGTTTTATGGAGCTTCATGCCTCAATTAATCAAACTAGAGTAACTTTGTGAAAGTGGTACTGAACTTCACTCAACTTCACCTTCCCTTGCCTCATGAAATGCCCCTTTAGTTCCCCAAAATAATAATGTATAAATAACAGCAGAACATCTCCACCTGAAACACGTCATTGCATATCTGTAAATTTCTGCGTCTTAAGATCTTGGCTGTTGTGATAGAGGAGAGAAGATTGTTTTCATATTAGTTACAGTTTTTTTTTTTGGCTATGTGATCTTATTGAATTTCTTCTCTCTCAACAGTTGCTTTGCTCATTTGATTCGTTGGATTCTCATTGTGCTGCAATGTTTGACTTGCAACATCGGATTCTTCCACCATTTTTTTTGTCTGAAAACCCAAAAGAAGCTGGATTTTGTCTTTGGCTCATCCATCCTAATCCATCATCTCGTCCAACAATAAGGTATCCCATTATTAACCCCCTTGTTTTTATTCTGAACAAAGGTTGGTATTAAAGATAATTGTTTAAATTTTGTATATGTAAGTTGAAATCTGGATTGCAGTACGTTAACATTTTATGCCATTGAGCTTATGTTGAACATTTACATATATATGTTGTCTGTAATTTGTAAGTAATAGGCTAGTTCACCAACTTTGACCATTAATTTTTCAAAATTTATAGTTATTATGTGAAAACATCACTAGATTTACCATGTGTAAGATTATCATTCTATAGTTATCTTTACAGTTGTCCACCAAAAAAGTCACCTTTGCATTTGTGAATTGTGATTGACAAGATTGTCACGAAATCATGTTGTTGGGCTATTATTATTGGACGGAAGGAGTAGTAGGAGTATGATGGCATTTTCAGCTATATGTTCTGATATGCAAGTCATGTAATTGCTTCCTAAAAATTGCATATAGTACTTCTTTTGGAATTGAGAAGTTCAATCCTAATTAGTGTGTGTGAGTGTGTGTGTGTGTGTGTGTGTGTGTGTGTGTGTGTGTGTGTGTGTGACTAACTTGATGCTTTTGTGTTCATCTTGTATGCTATGGACTTATGGTGTAATATGTACCAATTGTCTGACTAATTTTTCTTTTGTTGTTGATGACTAACTTGATGCTTTTGTGTTCATCTTGTATGCTATGGACTTATGGTGTAATATGTACCATTTGTTTGACTAATTTTTCTTTTGTAACAGGGAGGTACTTCACTCTGACCTTTTTTGCGGATCCCAAGAGTTGAATGTTAGTGATGAATTGGCAGTGTTTACTGATGATGTTAATATGGCTGAGTCAGAGCTTCTGCTGGATTTTATAGTTTCTCTAAAAGAGAAGAAGCAGGACCATGCAATGAAATTAGTTGAAGATATTAGATGCATAGAAACTGATATAAAAGGGTTATTGGGGAAGCCTTCTTCTAGAGCATCCCCACTTTGTGCTAAAAGAGACTACAATCTTCAAGATTTTATCAAGTCTATTACTAGGTCGGGTAGTAATGAGGATAGATTAAGAGATGATATGTCACAGCTTGAGAAGGCTTACTTTTTACTGCGAAACCAAACTACTTCAAAAGCTGGTGCTGGTAGAGAAGATAGAGACTTGTTGAAGAAGAGGGAAACTTGGTCTCAGATGCAAAAACAGAACGATTTGGTAAATATAAATCAGGAATCTGCATGTGGGTTGGATGTATTTTTTGAAGGACTCTGCAAATTTACTTGCTATAGTAAATTTGAGTTGCGTGGAACTCTAAGGAATGGTGATCTTTTAAACTCTGCTAATGTTATATGCTCTCTGAGCTTTGATCGTGATGAAGAATACATTGCTGTAGCTGGAGCATCCAAAAAAATCAAGATATTTGAGTATTCTGCTCTTGCAAATGATACTATTGATATCCACTATCCTGTGATTGAAATAGGAAATAAATCCAAGCTTAGCTGCATTTCATGGAACAGCTACATCCGGAACTATTTGGCTTCAACTGATTATGATGGTGTTGTCCAGGTAGTTACTCTTTGTTTTTTCTTCACTATGCATATATACTTATAAAAGCTAATAAACATCACATGATGTTCAATTTCCATAAATGAAATTCAGGTGTGGGATGCAAGCACTGGTGTGTCATATTCACAGCACACTGAACATCAGAAAAGGGCTTGGTCAATTGACTTCTCACGAATTGACCCAACAATGTATGCCAGTGGAAGTGACGATTGCTCTGTGAAACTCTGGAGTACTAATGAAGTATTACTTCTTATTCCCCCTATTTTTATGTATTGTTTGCTGAATCTGAGAGTATATGTTGCTTCTCTTTGCTAGGAATGTTTAATTTTGACCGTCTTTAACGTTGATAATCTTACTTTTTTGCAGAAAAGATCAACCTGTACCATCTGGAGTCCTGCCAATGTCTGCTGCGTACAATTCTCCCCTTACTCTTCTCATCTATTGATGTTTGGTTCTGCTGACCACAAGATTTATGGCTATGATCTTCGGCACATGAGAATCCCTTGGTGTACATTATCTGGTCATGAGAAGACTGTTAGCTATGTCAAATTCATGGATTCCGGAACACTGGTTTCTGCTTCAACAGACAATACGTTAAAGCTCTGGGATCTTAACAAAACAAGTTTATCTGGCATGTCCTCAGATGCTTGTCATTTAACCTTTAGTGGTCATACTAATAAGAAGGTTTCCGCACATATTCTTCCCAGTACATTTCTGATTGCCTCAGTCACTTCCTTAGTTTCCTTATTTATTTCTTCTGTCTTTGCAGCATTTTGTAGGCTTGGCTGTTTCGGATGGATACATAGCGTGTGGTTCAGAAAGCAATGAGGTATGTTAGTTTTAAGTACTTGGTGCCGTTTGATCTTTGATATACTTCCTCCGTTCCAAATTAGATGACACATTTTGACTTTTGACATTATTCATAACTTTGCTTTGACTAACATTTGTGAAATATAGATATATAATAAAAATAAAAAAAAACAGTCATGTGGGATCTTGTTAGATTCGTTTCAATATGTACTTAATTAAAATTTAATTTTTAGTATTTTTACGATAGTATAATTTAAGATATATTTGATTGAATTTTTGCATTGGCAAACGTGATAAAAGAAACGTGTCATCTAATTTGGAACGGTGGAAATACATTTTATATCATCTTTATTGATACGCATTATAACAGTGATCTTTATATCCGTTGCTCTAAATTTTCGTACTTCCTAATTGATGAAATTGCAATTTTGGCTTTGATTTATTGTTGAAATTACTATTGCTCTTTAATGAATGTGGTCAATGAAAATTGACTGATCAACTTTTCTAATTTTGCGGACCACTCCCCATAAAAAGAGTAGCTGCTAGTATCATTGATCATTATTTAGGTTCTGGGTTCTGACATAGAACAATCTCTTCTAGAACAAGCTCATAGACAAAGTCAGTCCATGAGCAGTTCAGCGTTGCTTTATGGGCACAATGGATGAATACAAAACATAATGAAACTTCCTGAGCTTGGAGTTGATTGCTTAGATATGAATCAGAGTACTTTTAGGGTAAGACAGGTGTATGCCTGTATGGTAAGACATGGTTGACTGTTCATATGAAAAAGGATGGCTTTTATATATGCCCTTTCTGCATAGAGTTGATTTAGCAATGTCAACTTTGAATGAGATTCGGGATAGCTTCAACTTTGATAGTCCCATCATATATTCATGTCTTATTCTGGAATTTTCAATAACAAATACATTAAATCTTAGTAGTTGGACTTTTCATATCTCGAGTCAGTATCTTTATGTGTTGAGAGTGATTTTTTTTTTTATTTTTTTTTTTTTGCTTGAATTGGTCTCTCCCTAGATTTTTAATGTTTCTACTTTCATTTGGAAAACTTTGAAGCATCTAAATGATGGATTTCTCTTGGACCTTCTTGCGTCATGTATCCATTGTTGTTCTACTTTAGCATAATGACTCAATATTTCTTTCCCTTGCAGGTTTTCACTTACTACAAATCCTTGCCAATGCCAATCACCTCTTACAAACTTAGTTCCATCAATCCTTTGTCTCAGCATGAGGTTAGGGAGGATGATGGACTTTTTGTATCAAGTGTCTGTTGGAGAAGCAAATCAAACACTGTCCTTGCGGCTAATTCAAGCGGAAGCATAAGGTTATTGCAACTGGTATAATTGATAAAATGCCGAATGCTTCTTCATCAGTGAGTGAATGAGTCCATATTGGGAATATGTTTGCTTGTCAGTGGTGGCATAATTTCTGAATAAATAGCAGCTAACAATTCAAAAGAAGCTTGAGTTGCATTAGACAACCAATGCAAGAGATTCAGTTAAGGTCATAATTATAGCAAGGAGTCAGTAAAGATTAGCGAGGAGATGGGGGAGAAAAGTTGACTTCCTTTGGGTTTGGATGCTATCAGGCTGGAAGGTTTTCCATAAGATGAACTGCTATCCATGACAAGTAAACTAGTGGCTCAAAGGAGATAAAGTAGTGCTCTTGCTGAAGGCTTCCTGTACGTGGCTGAGTTGGGATCCTTTCATCTCAGTTATATAACTGGAAAATTGAGTAGCTATTTGATGTTGAAAGCTTCTCTTTTCAATATCCAATAATATGAAAGGTCTCTTGTCATGTATTTTGATATATCCTTCCAGAACACTGCTTGTTAGGGAGTGCCGTGTTCTTCAAGTTTTGATCCTCTCTCTATTATTTACTGTCTCTGCCTGAGGATCATAAGATAGAAAAGACCTCTCTGGAAGTTGACATAGTAAACACAACATAGAGCTTAACTTACATGTTCTATTGCATATCCACCAAGCAGCTACTTTGAAAAGGATTTAAGATGCTCCAGTAAAATCAGCTGCCTGTTTTGCTATTTGCAAGCACCCACAAGCTGTACCTTAGGTATGTGTGTTGATATGTTCTGTTTCCTACAAGAGACTTTTTTCTTGTTTTTCTATATCTATTCATTTTGAATGTTTATTTATTTATTTTTGAATCGGCAGGTTTCTGGGAAGGTTATAAGATGCTGTATTGAAGCTCTGCTGGGAATTTCACAAATTTGAACTATATATGACTCTAGCAGGTATTTATTTTCTGATTATTCATTTAAAGATTGGGTTTTCTTTTCCTACCTTTTCAAATTATTTTCTTAATATAGCCATAAATACTTTTTATCAAATCTATCTGTCTGCAATCAACATTATCTTAATGTATGGGAAATGTGTAATGTCCATCTTATGGTCGAATATTATTTCTGCCCTGTCTTTATTTACATGGACATTATGTTATGAGATATTGAAATACTCTATATGATTACACAGTAAAAGAATGTCCTAGAAGGTTGCCAATGCCTTGACTGTTGAGCAGATTGCAAGCTTATTTTGCTTTTTACTACTCTTCCCTAGTAGCGGCTATTTTTTGGGCAAAAGAAAGCATATTCTGTTGTTTCAGATACCTTATGCAAGAAGTAATTTGTGTGATTTTTAATTATAATTCAGAAATCAAACATTAAATATTTTTTAATTAAAATCTAAAAGAACTAGTGAAGCTATTTTGAACTACTTTTTTCTTTTCCTACCTAATCTGTGCTTGTTCCTACATATAGAGCTACAGTGTTACCTATGTACTACCTTTTCTATTTACAGTGTGTGTAAATGTATTTTGAGAGCTAAAACAAAAATGAAACCAAAATATATATAAAAAGATATATATTTTTAATAAATAGAAACTAAATTAATATAAGCTTTGGCAACACACAGATTTGGCTGTGTTCTCTTGTTTGTCATAAGATTTTTGGCGGCCTAATAGCTTATTATAGCTCAGAATCTGATGCATGGCCAGACTTCCTCCGGATCTGGGAATTTGCTAGAAGCATGTGGTTATCAGGTGTAAACTGCATACTACGTGAACAGCGTAAAAGTTGAGGTGGTCTTAGAGATTGTCCTTTTTGTGTTCCTGCGATACCAAACAAAATAAATGATTTTCTTTATGTGCTGCCGCAGAAACCTTTGATTTTTGACTCGAGTAAACTCCAAAGTTTTTATATTGATGAAATTCCATCATTAGCTTTTGTCCATTAATAAATCACCATTCCAATGGTTGGACTCTCACTTTTTTTTTATATTACTTCAAAGGATTTTATTTTTAAATTTTAACACTACGTTTATATGTGATGTAATCTATAAGCATCAATTCTTCCTTTCATGTTGTCAAATTTCATGGTCATATTTAATAATAAATCCTTAGATAACGCAACGGTTTAAGCTGATTTATGTTAAATAAGAGTGTTGAGCTCTCTTGTAACTCGAGTTTTAGTTTCGTTTCCTTCTATCTTTGCTTCATTTTCTCCACCCCCCCCCCCCCCCCCCCCCCCCCTTTTTCTCCTTTCTTTCTTTCTGGGTAAGAGTATGGTCCGGTGAATATATGTTTGGGAGAAATTATTGACATATGGTGCTAGGTGTAAGCATACCTGGAAATTTATTTGCTTTTGAATCTGGTAATCTACTATTTAATGAAAGCCTCCTTTTTGTATTATCATCAGGGATTGGATTCTTCCTTTCCGTGATAGATAGAAGAGGATCATCTGCAGTTGTCACATGATCATCTCCAGACATAGAAGCTGCTTCACTGCCAGATTCTGAGGCATCTTTGATATTAGATATACATTTTTCCCTCTCCATGACTCGAAATGCAAACATCTGAAATGGGATTTCTGAAACAGGATATGGCTCATTGCTCATCCAAGAAGAAAATTTCTTTAGAAACCCTGACTCAATATCATAGTAATCAATATAAGGAACAGGGGTATCTGGGTGGCTGTAGTCTGAGTTCATCATGAGGAATCTTTTGATATAACGAAGTATCCTGCAAATGGATGAGAAAGTTGGCCGTTGATCTGGGTCTGTATGCCAACATCTCTTAATAAAATTTGTCATATATTTAGGGCAGTGGTGTGGAAAGAGTGGCCTTTCCCCAACCCTAATGTTTCGACTCATCTTTTCTCCTTGAAGATGGGAGTCTTCAAATGGGACTTTTCCCGTGAGAAGTTCAAAACAGATCATACCAAAGCTATACACATCAGACTTCTTTGTGTACTTTGCATCATCAGTTGCACCTTTTGACTCTTCTTGTTCTGTTAAGACTTCTGGGGCATGCCAGATGAATGATAGTTCCTCACTTGGGTTTGATTTATTCTGAGAGTGCCTTGTCACTGATGATAGACCAAATCTTGTAACTTTTACATGGATAAATCCCTCTGAAGAAATATTTCTGACTTCAGCAAGAATGTTTGAAGGTTTTAAATCTCCATGATATATTTTTTTTGAGTGAAGATACTCCATGCCTCTTGCTATCTGAAGCATTATGTCTAGTGCAACAGGAAGAGCTAGTGGAATGCGCTTCCTCGGGCCATAAAATTCCTTGACATGGATACTAAGATTCCTGCTCATTTGCTCTGTGACCAAGAAACACTCTTTCTTTTCATCATCCATGAAACCACAAAGAAACTGTAGTATATTTGGGTGGGAAAGCGATAATAGTTGAGATAATTCCGGAATTAAAGGCTCTATGTCTCCTTTGATCTGTCGAAGAACAAAGGTTTCACCCAACCAAAAGATTTCTTTGTATTCGCCTCCATTTCCCAGCCTCTTTCTCACTTGGTAGTCTTTTGAATTCAGCAAGAGTGAGCATGGTAAGAGCTTTCCATTCAAGGACCCTGCCTCATCCAGATTCTTCAAGAGAAGATTCATGAGCTGTTGACCGTACTTTGTTGATCCAGGACTTTCAGGTATTCTTTTTTGCTGGATTTTATCTAGTAAAATCCATCGATCTTCCTTCCAAACTTCATCAATCTGATTGCAGATTTCTTCAGTAACCACATATTGTTTCCCTAATTTCCATCGAAAAAGCTTTAGGTCATTCCATTCATTTTGATATTTCCTTGACCACACGAGTCTCCTTTTATTGATCTGATCATCATCCCAGCTGGATAATTCTCCGGCTGTTTCTATTGCTTCAATAACAATCGGAATGCAGCAAAGAAGGTTATGAATATGGAATTCTATACAGTCTCGATTTTGGTATAATGTTATGGCTTTGGCCCACCAATTCTTGCTATCGAAGCAGTTTCTAACGTATGCCTCAGCTTCTCGCAGTATCTTGTAGAGCTCCTTGAAGGGTTGTTCAAGGACTTTCCATTTTTTATGCTTCTCTTCAAATCTTAAGTTGCTTCTCATTTCATCTGCAATTGTCTCATATGCCATGGTAAAAGCATCAAGGAGAAAACAGCATTGCCTTTTATTGATTTGAATGTGATGTTGGAATACCATCAACGCCTTCAGACTCCCTAGAACTTCACCAACCTGCCGGAATTGCTCCATTCCTAGATTTTTATGATTTCAACAGGCTGATAATATGTATGAATTTTGTGTTAGCATGAATTGGGTCTGTGATGTTGGAACTTGAATAGAGTTATTTATAGTTAGACGTTCCTAGGTATTGAAAAGATGATATACCCTTGTATCTTATTACTATAATTTGACAGATGTTTGTGATGATATCGTGTCTGTCAAACTGGCTTCGAATGAATTGAATGAAATTTTAAAAAATCAGCCAAACTGCTGAATATACATGTATACAAGCTTCCTGTATCTCTTACCAACTTTCTACTGAAACAGGTAAAGATGAATTGGCCTTGGAAGAGTTGCAACTGTCTTTCCCAGAATATATAACAGGAAGATTATAAACCAGAATTTGTCAGTTAAAGCTACCTGGGTTTCATGCAGATACAAAATTGAAGCTATCTGTATAATTTCTTTCTTCCAAATTTTGGATCTTTCCTCTGATTCTAATTTTAGCAATGCACCAACTGCCCTCAACCTTGTTGCTGCTTTCATTGCTGAATTTCAGCCAAAGACATGGATAGAAAATAGTTTCTATATATACCTTTCTAACTTGCGTTTTTATGAACCATATTTGTTCATTTTTTATGATAACAAATTCTAGGAGGACGATGTTAAAGTTAGCATTAGTAGGGTCGAAGACCTTCGATAATTCATTTCAAGCTCAAATTGTAGAATACCAAATATGCAATCCATATACGTTAAAAACATGTATTCGTAAATATATATACAATATTAATTGTTTTTTTTTAAAATTTTGTGATTTGAATCGAAGTTATTGCTCTCATGTTAGTTATTCAATCTAGCATTGTTAAAGACCTTTGTAAATGTATGCTTATTAATATTGGTACTCACCCCTTAACACACAAATTAAGGATAGGTTCAATTTAACTTATTTAAACAAATAATTATTGATTTCAAAAATAATCTGACCACATCTATTTGTTTGCATTTGCTTAACGTTAGAATTCTTTAATTTTGCAAATGAAAAAAAAAATTGTATGAAAATTTCATACTCCATTAATAAAAAGTACGCATTAATATGAAATATTTGAATATGAAAACTCTTTTAATAATTTCTTCGCTCAGAATTCGTGTACAAATATGGTTAGAGTTTAATTGACTTATAAAATCAGATCCAAATTCGATCGGGTCATTCGAATTGAAGATAGGCTAAAAGTCAGATTTTGCAATGATGGAAGTGATGTGGAAAGGTTAGCGGTGAACTGGTGGTTATAACTAAAAGAAGAAACATCAAGGCCCCAAACCAAGTTTTGTGGCCCGTAATTTTCAATATATGCTGATTTTGCGATTTAGATGTCGGGCTGTATTATTTTAAGAAGAAAAAATTGTACTCAAAATTGATTGGTGGTCTGTCATATTCATACATATTGATGTTGATCGCCTTGGGTTGAGCAACTCCAATTCTCCAAGCCTTTGCCCCTTTATTTTTTAACAGGAATTGAATTATTTAAGTGTTCAATATGTAAGTAGATTATGATCTCATTGGGTTGAGCAACTCCAAAAGATGAGACCTATTACTTAATGGAGGGTGAGCACGACAATTCTACGTGATTCACTAACAATAAACAGTGTAAAAAGATTTAAATTATGAAGTATAATACAGTATGCTCCATTTATAAAGAAAAAATTGAAATACCACTCGTTATAGAAGAAATGACACGTTATTTTATATATGTATAAATAAATAGGGGAGATAATGGAACATTTGAGTTAGTTTTATAATATATAGCTATATAATAAATTTTTAATTTGAGTCTCTAAAATGTAAAAGTAAATCTTGAAATCTCATCATGAAAGGTTAAAAATAAAAAGAAATTACAAATAGTTTATAATACTCAAATTGAGTCTCATCAATCAAGATTTATAGTCAATCACTCTCATCGGCATATATTATGAAATGAAAGAAATAATAAACTAGTAAAAGAATTTCCATTTGTATATTTATTTTCCTAAATCACCAATAAAAAAAAATGAAGTATATAATAGGTATAGCACTAGTTGACTTGGTGACCAATCTGACCATAGCAAGTTCCAAGCGACAGATTAAACATCTACTATTACTCAACCACCAATACAATGTTTAGATCATCTTAGCACCACAAACTTTCTAAACAATGCTAACTAATAATTATTGAACATCCATAGACTTAATTTATTATTTTATTTGATCTTGATCCATAGTTTAGTTTATTTTAATACAATTGTTAAGGTTGTCTCAACTCCATAAGTCATTCGTGTTATTAATTATATGTTTTTATACTTTTACTTTACCTAATAACAACATTAAAGTAATATCCGTGATATTCCTAACGCGAAAATAAAAATCTTTCTATGCAACAAAGTTTACTAACCTCTCAAAAGTTAGGTAGGAAATATAAATTTCTTCCCCAAGGGGTGTATCACTCAATTTAGTTGGACAGATGGACACCAAAAATCACGAGCCTTGGTATCTCCACAAGATATCAATTGTAGGGCAAGATAACATAATGTCCACAAAAAACATACACAAATTGGCTATATAAACTAGATCATATTTCATGCATGTAAATTATACTAGAAGAGAGATCTAGTGTAAGGCTAGTAAAGGAGAAAGAAAATATATACAATATGGAGCAAGTAGCAACTAGGCAACAACATAGTAATAGTGTAAATGGGCAGCAAGGAGGGCAGCAATGGCAGGTGCATTTCTTTCAAATGCCAGTCCATTACCCCAAGTATAGTCGAGCCAACTACGAAACCATGCCTGAATGGAGGCTTGATTGCTTGCTTACTCAGTATGGACTGCCTGTTTCGGGTGATTTAGCTCACAAGAGAAAGTTTGCCATGGGTGCTTTCCTGTGGTAGATTCCGTCCCTAATAATTAGTGTCCGTGTTTGTGTTCGTGTTCATGTTTGTGTATCTTTCATGTTCTCCTTGAGTCATTTGAAATCTGGTTTGATGATTTACTCAGCAGTAGAGTAAAATTTCATCCTTGTACCACGTTTGAGTCGATGTTGGTTATGTTACTAGCAATTTTCCAAATCTAGAGAGAATGGTAAATGAATTTGCAATTACTATTTAAATAATGTGTGCTAGCTGCTAGCTATTATATGTTTCTTACCAGCCGTTATTGATCGGAAACACGCACCTTAGCTTAACTTTTGGACTTGTAAACATGGCATATTGCCATGCCTAGGCCGCTATGCAACTGTATTGTGGATGGATCTCGTGATATATATGTGCCTTTTTTAGGTGCATATTAGTTTAATCCCATGCGTTGCACAGATTAAGTAGTTATTATATGTTTAAATAATTGTCAATTTTATCTTAAAAAAAAAGTGTAATCATAATCTCATTAATTAATGTATTTATTTATTAGTTTTGAAATATAGGAGGAAAAAAAAAAGAGGAAAAAAAGGATGATGTCAAAAATAGTTTAGGCGGGAAATTTTTTAATAAGAAATTGACATGTGTCATGTTTTGTTCTAGTATTAGTTAATAGATAAGTTAAATGTACAATAAATTAAATTAGTAGCAAAATCAATATGTCATTTAAATGTGATACATGGAGTATTAAATTATTAATTATGAGCACGTATAAGCTTTTGGGCCTTTTGGCTTAATGCAAATTAAGTTAGAGCAACCCTAATGTGATTGGTACGCCAAAAAAAGACATATGAAAAATTGTTGTTAATAATACATAATTCATTCATCGTCTATGTTATAAGTAAGCTAAACATAATCTCCCATTTTTCTTACCTTAAAAAAAAAAAAAAAAAAAAAAAAAGTTGTTACAAATAAGCTGACAATGGTGTAGAGTTTACTATGTTCAAAGTAAAAATCGTCCTTACCTCTTTAAGGGAAAATTAACTACTAGTATAAAATTTTTCTTAGGTAAACTATAAAACAATCATTCACTAATACATTTTATTAATAAATAATTACAAGTACACTATAACATTCCGAGGTAACTAAAACGAGAAATAAAACCAATTAACACCGATTAACCTGGCCAAATAAGTCAATTATCGTCGACATACATTATATAACTAACTCAACATTGAACGAGATTAAACTACAGAGTATTATGGAGTATTTCGCTCACACATTTTCCAACTTTTACCTTTAGTAAGCCAAATAAATCAATTATCGTCGACATACATTATTTAACTAACTCAACATTGAACGAGATTAAACTACAGAGTATTGTGGAGTATTTCGCTCACACATTTTTCAACTTTACCTTTAGTATATACTCCCTCCGTTTCATAATGTTAGTTCTATGTGGAATCAATCACATAAAATCAGAAAAGAAAAATATTTGAAATCTAACATTAAAGTACAAAATAATTCATAATTAGTTTACCTTATTTAAGTTTTTTAATTTTTTTTTTGGAAAGCATAAGTCATAATGCATAATTCAAGATAGAAATTTCGTTACTTAGAATCATGTCATTAATCCACATCCAATTAATTCCAAAAAAATTAACTTAAATATATAACATATTTAATATGGGTAGATTTTTTTAAACGCCCCAAATAATATATGAGACTAACATCATAAAACGGAGGGAGTACGATTTTAAGTAAATCACAGACGATGTTTAGCAATAAAAATAAACCAAGCTTGAGTAACAGTAACGCTGATTAGTCACAAAATTGGCAATGATTACTCCCTGTTGTTTATGTTCACTCACCCCCATCACTCTCATCATTATTTTCTTTGGTTTCCCTCTCTTTTCAAAAGCTCTTCCGCGCCAGAGAGAGAGAGTAAAGTGAGAGTGAGACACTAAACCAAACCCCCCAAAAAACCCTAGATATTTTCCGGCCAAAAATGCCTCGAGAAATCATCACTCTTCAAGTCGGACAATGTGGAAATCAAATTGGCATGGAGTTCTGGAAACAGCTTTGTCTTGAACACGGTATCAGTAAAGATGGCATTCTCGAAGATTTCGCTACTCAGGTTTTCCCCCTTT